AGATTAACCTTCAGGGTGGATATAGCTCGCTAACAGCCTCGCACCAATACCTATTCACGTCATCATTTACCCAGAATGCTTTGTGTGTAAATAAAATGGCCCCGTCCGTGTTAAAATATATTTTTAAAAATTTACAAAACTAAACATCCTACAGTATTTTTACAGTCTTTATTTTACAGTTAAAATATGTTTATCAAATAAACTTTAATGTTACAACTAATCGTGGATCCCTTTAAGTAGCACCAAGGAAGAAGCAACAACCTGAGAGACATACAGTATCACACAATATTCATATTCAAGTAAAATATTGTTGGGCATCACCTTGTTGGTGCTGAAATACTATGTTATGTCTTTCTTTTTGGTATTTTTCATGAATTCAACTAAATAAATGGGAACAAGCAGTTGTCTGGTAATAAAATGACTTAAAATCTAATTTTAAAACGTGTCTTTGCTGTGTTGTCTCATGACCCAACACTGCTTCATCTCTGGAGTTCAGGAGCGTTTTAATGTCTGAAGGATTCATTAGCCAGAGGTAAGTGACTTAAAGGAAAATAATCAGAATAAATGTTTTAGGTGAGCTAAACAGTAGCTAAAGACTAAAATTGGAAAAACACTAGCAAAAGGCTGTAACTAGTAGAAAGATAGCTACAAGCTAAAACTGCTAACAGTATCTAACAGGCTATAAAAGCAAAAACGTTGAGGTAGGACCAAGTTTTTCGAGGAACTGAGCGTTCTTCGTTCACCTCAATGAGGAAAACAAAGTTGTGATTATTTCAAAAAGTATAAAAGTTACAAAAGCCATAGTCACAATGTCCTGAATGAGCAGAACATCTTCAAATATCAGTGGTTAAAATATCTGAAAAGTAAGCTGTAGTAGTTACAGCCCAAACAGCTAACAGAAGAAACTATCAATAAGAAAACACAAGGCGTGAACGCTGACTCAGCATTAACACTAGGATGTTAAACTCTGACCCCTTCAAAGCTAAACAGTGTGTGTGTTCTCACCCCCTTGCAGATAGCAACAGCTTCTTTGGACATGGACTTAGGGTAGGAGACATGATGCTCCATGATTGATTGGAACAACTCATCTTCATCTTCACCATCAAAAGGCGGCTGTGGATGCAGAAAAATACCTAATCACTTCCAACACTCCACGGTAAAGGGACAGTCAACAGTGCATCTAAAACAAACCTGCCCAGCAAGCATTTCATAAAGCAGTACTCCAAAAGCCCACCAGTCCACTGACTTCCCATAAGGCTGATAGGCTATGATCTATGAGGAGAAGAAAAAAGTTTCAGTCAGGTGATTAAAAACATCAAAACGATGAGCTCCRGACAACGCAGGAACCACACAAACCTCTGGGGCGATGTAATCTGGTGTTCCACAAAACGTCTTCGTAGTGACGCCGTCAGTCATGTTCTCTTTGCACATGCCGAAGTCTGCGATCTTTATGTGGCCCTCAGAATCCAGCATCACATTGTCCAGCTTCAAATCTCTGTGCACAAACAGGGACATGCATGCGTATCACTCACGTTCATGATCTGAGATATCAGGAAAGGTAACCAGGAGAGGGGAGACGTTTCGAAAACTCACCGATACACGATGCCTTTGGAGTGAAGGAAGAACAGACCAACAGCAATCTCTGCAGCATAGAACCTAAAAGATAAAGAACCGTTTCTTCACAAGGCCTGGGTCACCTCTCTGCTCTTTTAATTCTGTCCAAACTGTTGGACGTTTTATCTAGAAATAACCGTCACAGCTTGTAGGCAAAAACAGACGTGTGGAAATGCAAAAAGTATCTGCATTTGTTGCTTTCATGTTTTTACACAGGAAATATACAGTAAAGTTAGATAGTAACCGTTATCTGGTTTGAAGATAAAAGCTTCATCAGAAAACGAAATGTTTTTCAACTTACACTCAACATCCTGTCAGATTATTTTAAAGGGGCAATATCATGGCGGGACAGAAGCGGAAGGTGGTTCTTAAAGAGACAGAGGCCAATTTCAAGGCGTTTAGAAGAGAAAGTGATGGGAAGATAAGTTTATTTTCTATTTAAACATTAAAACAGCATTTTAATAACAACTAAAGGTGACATAGATACTTTATTATGGTATAGTATTTAAATGTATGCCTGAGAAACATAGTATTGCCCCTTTAAAACACTAACAGAGAGCAGCAAATGCTGACTTTGGAAATAAATTTCAGCCAATAATTGTATTTTCATTGCAACGTATTGCTTGAGGGAACTCATTTCCCCTGATACCTTTTATACCAGATGTTTAAATTAAAATCCTTTCATTTTAAGTCGGGTCAGAGCGAAAAACGTTTGGGTCAAACAGGAAATGAGGCCATTTTGTAATATAGTGAGCTCGTGTGTGATATTTTTTTGTGAATAACTCAGCTACTACCAAAAACTCAACATCTGTAGAACTGGTTGAGGTCGCACCAGTGTTGCTTCTCCTAAGACCGTTTGGCTCTGGTGGCCACCTTGAATAAGAGTGACTCCAAACGTTGATCATTTAATGTATATCTAATGTTTCGTTTCTGTGAGTTTCAAGAAATTGTATTTAGTGGCTCACGAGACATTTTGCTAACAGACAGCGTTGCCTCCACTAATTAATGGCAAAGTTTTAAAACTGTATTTCACACATGTTAGGGGCTATTCTCAGCTACCCCAAAATTAGGTCAATATCTGTAAAACTGACTTAGACAAACCAGCTTCAACCGAATGGGTTAAAATAAGGAACAGAAAAAGTGCTGCTGCRTGAACCAAAAGGCAGCTTTTGTGTTCTTTGGAAATGATTGGTTTTGTTGACAACGCGTGCACTGAAGCCAGGCCGTCAAATATTTTCAGATCCACACCATCTCCAGCAGATCTCTCCTTCACAGACTTCCTTGCGCAGGTGCTTACAAGGTTTCTGTTCCAGTCTGACAGGCAGTGCTAATCCCTGCCAAACGGTTCGCTGTAATCTGTCTGCAGAGTGCAAACGTTCAGACAGGTGTGCTTCCATCTATTTGTTTTAACGTCTGCAGATTGTCGCAGATCACCAGAGGGAGTTTGTGAGAGCGTTTTAAAGGCTGCCACGCTGTTTTGCTGAAGCAAAGACTAACCAGTGTTTACAACATCTTTATATAACCGAAAGTTATGCAATCTGTTGTTTTCTTGCAGCGACTCGCCTCCTGCATGATTTCAATGAGACCACCTCTGTTACAAGACAAACAACATCTATGTGAGGAGGAATCATGTTCATAACTTTGCCATAAATCTCTATCAACCTGAGCTTATTGGTGGAGAACAAAAGGCTTTCTTTAATGTTGATATTGACAAGTAAAACATTATGGCTAACTACTGAAACCTCAAATTTTGGACCCCAAATTGTATCTTGATATGATTCTTTGAGAGAAAAGCTTTATGTGAAACAGCTCGTTCCTTCTGTAGGTTAGATCATGAGTGTGTGCGTAAATACTCACACAGCATGAGGCTCTTTGAACTTGCCGACCTGTTGGATTTGGTACATGAGGTCTCCTCCATTAATATACTCCATGACAAAATACAACCGGTCCTGGAGGCAGTTATTGAGAGACAGGACAGAAAAAATAGTGGATTAAAGGTGGGTATTGTGCAAAATAGACTTTTTTTGAGCTATAATGTCATTCACTCATTAAAAACATTTCCAGAGTGTTGCTTTGACTCATTCATGAAATCCTTGAATCTCCTGTGGTAGCCATGTGGATGATATTCAATTCAAATTTATTAATTTCATTAAAAAATAACTATATACAATAAAAAACAAAGAAAATACACAAATCAAAAATCTAAATAAAATGAAAGATAGCAGAAGGAGAATAAATCTTATAATGTCTGCTCCTTTTATCCCCAGAATATATTCAAACAAAACATAATTTACAAAACAATCCTAAATAAAAATAAAAATAAAAAACATCAACTCAAACAACAGTTCATATAGCTTCACATTTTACTTTCCATATACCTTCAGAAAACTAGCTTTTATCTGTCTCTTAAATATTTACATAGATCTAGCATTTTTAAGATCATCCTCCAGACCATTCCATAATCCTATACCCTGGATTAAAGTACATCTTTCTCTCAAGCAAGAACGAAAATATGGTTTCACAAACATTTCCATCCCCTTAAGATAATAACTGTCTCTCTTAACAAAGTTTACCTGAATGTTGGAAGGTAATATGTTTCTGTGAGCCTTGTACATAAACTAAAATATTATAGTCAATCAAATCATAGAATTTCAAAATTTTCAGTTTACAAAATAATGTATTAGATGGATGGTTGTGATATTTTCTCATGATAATTCTTACGGCTCTTTTCTGCAAAACAAAAATCGGATTGTAATTGTTTTGCAAGCTTTACCCCGGACTTCAATACAGTAAATTAAATGTGGAACAATTATTGAATTGTACAACACAAGCAGAGCCTTGTCATTGAATAACTCCCTGACTTTATACAATACTCCTATAGATTTAGATATTTTTGTTCTTAAATAACGTATGTGAGGTCTCCATGTCAGCTTATCATCAATGATGACACCCAGAAATTTCACCTGGTTGGATATGATGCAAAGTCAAATTTATTTTTGATATTTACAGCATTTTCATAACAGCTGAAGGTAACATAGTTACTTGATTGTGGTGTAGAATTGAACTATGTGCCTGGGAAATACAAAATAACCCCCCAAAAGAAAAAAAAAAAACACAGAGCCAGTTTTGTGCTACTTTATGCGCAGCTTTAGTGCAATGAAATGCTTTACAGTCGACTCACAACAAATACCTTTAAAAGAAAATAAAAACTAAAAGGTGATTATGTAAACAATATTAAAGACCTTTGAATTTTTCATACCATTGTTTGGAAACACGAATGCAGCTGAGTGAGGAAGGGGGGTTTTCCACCCAGAGCGAGCACTCTCTTCTCCACCATGGTGCACTCGACGTCATCGTCTTGGATCACCACGTCTTTCTTTAGGATTTTAATGGCGTATAACTCATCTGTGCTTTTCCTTTCTGCCAGCATCACCTGGTAAATAAATAAATAAATAAATGAAGCAGCAGAGAGCAGAGTGATTTTACAGTGAAAAACAACTCATTTCTCCGAACGAGCCTCACTTTGCCGAAGCTGCCTTTGCCCAGAACCATGATGAAGTTGAAGTCTGAGAGCTTGACGCGGTCCTGATTGCCATTGCTGTCGTATTTGCATACTGAAGAGGAAGAGGAGTCTGTGGGCTTCCCTGGACCTACTTTTGCTCTCTGAATGGTTGGCGTAGTGGGGAAAGGAAAACAAAAAATAACAATGGTTAAAAAAATAAACAAACAGAATCCAAGTTTTTAGCCCAGTTCCTCTAAAAGTTACCTCAAATTTTTGTCGTAGCGCCTCGTTGCCGTCTTCTCCGTCTGGCTGGACGGGAACATTAAAATATTCTCCTTCCTCCTGAGACAGGAGCTTAAACCTAAAGCCAATGAGGAAAGCGGGAGACGTGTCAGACAAAACCCAGGGCTGTTAACAGAACAGGAGAAGATTTGTCTCACCATCCATCCACTCCAAGTTTCTGTAGCTCTGAGATCCCAAAGGACAGCGATCCCATGAAGTCGTTCCTGCTGGTTAGATCCCAGTCCCACACCTCCACCGAGAGGCGGCGATCTTTGTCGCTTTCTTTAAGGTGACTGAAAAACAACAGCAGTAATTAACACGTCTTATCTTATAAATGAACAACATACTYAACAAGACAACAAAGTCTCTTGTTTCTGTTGTTAAACTAATAGGAAAACTCGACAAACTTCTAAGAGGGCACAGTAACCCAGAAAAGCTTGAATAACAATGAGCAGAAACACTAGAAAGAATGAGGACAGGTCCACTTTGTGCTCATGTGACTGAGAATGAGGCCAGCAGACTTTACAGAAAACCCAGTTCTATTAATAAGGAGCAACAACAACATGTGACAGAACAGGAGAAGTCTCACAAAGTGAACGTKTCATTCCAGGTGGGGTTGAGGCAACATTTAATGGTCTTCGTCTTCTGCTTGCTCTCACTCTTGGGGTCCGGGATCAGCTTGAGCTTAACGTAGGGGTCTGACAGGCCGTTGGGGTCCATGGGCACCAGGTTCTTAGCCTCAATGACTGTGAAGTGTTGAAGATAAATGTCAGTTTAATTTAATTTAAGAGGAAGGAAAAATCCCCTGATAAAAYACACTTTGTCAAAACTTGTCCTTTCGAGGAATGAAAGAGGTAAATCTGCAAATGTTGGTGCCATTCCCCGCGCCCCCCCGCCCTAAATAACGACACCTAACAACAGTTTAGTTTCTGTTCTATAATCAAACGACAGCTGTGCAGGGGAGAGCTGGCACGTGGACACACATGTGGGTCAATCGTTGGATCATTGAGTGACTAATGGACTTTCCAGCTCTGGTCTGGGGCTCATAGAGAGCGCTTTGCATTGCGCTGATGTCAGAGAGGAAAGGTGGACGATCAGACGGGGAGGACTTACTGGAGACGGTCAGACAGTCATCACAGATCTGGGCAGTGATGTGAATGCGTCCTCGTCTTTCTGTGTGATCTGTCCCGCACAGGCTGGGGACGTTGGCAACACATCGCTTGTGGATGTTCATCATACAATCTGATCGCACAAACACACACACAAAAAAACAATGAATTATATTCTGGTTTTAAACCACATTTAAAACAAACTTTACTTTTTTTTTTTCTTATATTGAAAAGAGCTCAACACTTGGTTAGGACTAGTAGTATAAATGACACATTAGACGCTTGAAGGCATGGATCTGTTGAAAAGTTATAATAACGGTCATACCTGTTGAAGGTAGAAACAGTTTAATTCTTACCTGATTCACAAGCCCAAAGATAATCCCAGATCCAAGACTAAAGTGGATTATTGTCAATTTAAAACTACTCCAATCTCAAAAATTCAACAGTGGTTCTTAGTGTCAATTTATAAACCTTTATGTGACATTTCTGTATTAAAGTTATTTACATAAAACTCTGGTTATTTGCAAGCATAAACAGCAGTATCAGCAGTTGTAGCACATCTGGTGCAATCTACCTGCAGGAATATCAAAATATTTGAGACTAAAGTTGTTTTACGGCAGTAATCCACTTTGGTTTTGGTTCCACTCAAACTTGTCAGTATCTCATCAATCCACTCAGAATTAAATTATATTTTCTCCAAACTGAAGTTKTTTTAAAGGGATCCCTGATAAGTTGTAACATTTGAGTTTATTTGATAAACATATATTTTAATTGTAAAATAAAGACTTTAAAAATACTGTAGGCTGTTTAGTTTTGTAAATTTTTAAAAATATATTTTAACACGGACGGAGCCATTTTATTTACATGTAAAGCACTCTGGGTAAATGATGACGTGGATAGGTCCTCAGTGTGAGCGAGCTATATCCACCCTGAAGGTTAATCTTGGACAATATCTGATGATCGAATCTTTTAAATGAAACCAGAGAGCGTTGACAGAGAGGAGAAGGTAGAAATGACTCAGCCTGKAACTGAAAATATGGATGGAGGACAACAGAGCTGCTTCATGGAAGAAGAACCTATTATCTATCTATTTATTGTGCATAACCTTCCTACAGAACCCTACTTCAAAGGACTGAACATTTTAACCATTAAAGCAATTAGAAACATGTGCACATTGGCATAATATCACTGAGTACAAGCAAATGTAGTTATAATAATGTTAGACTCAAACAGGCTTTATAAAAAATAAACATGGCAGAATGTACGATTGATTAAAAAAAGAGCTGAATAATCAAACTTTCAGCTCAATGTTAGACATTTATCACACTAGACAACTTATGACAACTTATGATACATTTTTGTCTAAATTGCTAATAAAAGTTTTATGAAACATTTTTGTCTAAATTGCTAATAAAAGTTTTATGATACATTTTTGTCTAAATTGCTAATAAAAGTTGTATATTTGATCAATTTGTTTGAATTACATTATGTACACGCCAAAAAGAAGCTTCCTGTTGATTTTTTCAATTCCATCTTCGATGTAGATATTTTTAAAATGTTCATAAGTTGCATAAATTGTCTAGTGTGACAGGGCCGTTACAGTTAGGCAGAATTATTATTATTAGTTTCTCCTTTTTAAAAAAAAGCTTTGATCACAACAAAACAAGCAGCTGGTTCTAAAAGTTTGAACTGACTTCAGATGGCTTAGACTAGATCATATCTCAAAGCAGCAGCACAATTTAGGAGAAATGCCACTTTATTTTATGACCCAGATTAGGAGTTTCATTGAAAGACAACTCTCTACAGAGGAACCGGGATGAAATGGTAAATGAAGGGATTTGCATCTTGTTTGATTCCAAATCAGGTGAAACAGGTGAGGGAGCCTTTCCCTCTCCGCTCCATCTGCCTCTGCACACACAGTCAAATATTAGTTGTCCTTTTTTGAAGACTTGGTTCATCTGAGTCAGACTTGTTTAAAAAGCTCCTCAGGATGTTTTTGTTTCTGCTAATCAAACAGTCCAAGAATCCAAATGTGCAAAAAAAAACAAAAACAATAAAAACTGTTTTTGTTAGCGTAAAAATGAAAGTAAGATTTAGAAAAAAAAAACAATTTTGCAGAGCAGATAGTTAATCTAAATCTAAAGAGCTCAGGAACATCTCAAACTAACTGAAAAATGACCTAATAAATCTAAGAATGAGCAGAGAAAGGGGATGTCAGTGCTCAGTTTGAACACTAGATGGCAGAATGCAGTGATTTACAAAGCCAATCATTTTGCTCCACTCTCTGATCAGTGGGTGGTGTTGTTGCCCTGCAGAGGTGGAGAGTGAGATGTTTATCTCCTGCTGTCTGTTCCTCCAATGAAATTTATCTCGCATCTCCAACCGAGAGAGCACCAATCACATCGTTCATTCATGCAGCCTCAGCTCGGCTTCGCAACACGTGCTGAAGACAAGAGACCAACATAAAATGCAAATAGTAAAAGAGAACGATGCCTGTTCACTAGATCCTAGAGTGATAAGCAGATGAAACCGGTTTGAACCCAGTTTAACCTTCTACTAGAGCTCAGTACGGAGAAACGYTGTGTGAAAATAAAGAGGTAATGGACTATAAAGCTTCATGTGTGTTACAGGAAAACATTTGCATTTGTTCTCCAGCATTCATGTTAAAACGGCTTTAAAGTTCCTCTTTATGTAATTGTTTTTATGTCAGGATAGAAAATATCCTCTGATGTTTATGAGGTCTTCAAATGAGGTAAATCCAACCTTAAATAACACTAAAATAAGTGAAATGAAAGAGGATGAGGAGCAGGACGGTGCTGCTAAATAAATGCACCTAATTAACGTTTTAGCAGCAGTTTTGAGAAGCTTTCTAAAAGCAGAAGTTTGAGCAATTTGATGCTCTGACACATCCAGGCGGGCGTTACCGCAAAGCCATAGAGGAAAAAAAATCAGCAGTAACATTAAAATAAATAAATAAATTTAAAAAAAGCATCTGTTGCATCAATCTGAGAAAAATTATAACATTATTTCCAAACTGTTTAAAGTTAATTATCCTGCAGAACAGGTGTGAAACAACTGCTGGTTGCTGGTTTGCATTAAAATTGCCAATTTCTGTAGAAGTAGATTGAAACATCTTTATTTTAAAAGTAAACCAAAAACAACCACAGGCCTCAGCTTGTTATGCATTAAAATTTATGGTACGCTGGAAAAAACACAACAAGTGTGGCTTGTTTCAAAAGGATTGACAGAGAAAATAAAAAGCGCCTTCACTTTTAAAAGATCCTAGCGGCCTAGCTCAAGCTTTTCATTGAAGCGTTAAAGAATGTGAGGCCTGTAGCCAAAGAAGGAGTGGGGAGGAAATTTGTTTGTAGAACAGGACAATAGTTCAAAGAACAGCAGAAAATCTGCAAATAAATGTTTCAAAGAAAATAGTTTAGGTGTCTAATTAGGAGGCTGCAGTGAAAAACCATGACTGAGCTCTTCATTTCCAACAGTTGAGCAACCTTTGATTCCTCTGCAACGACGCACAAAACAGATAAAAAACTAGATTAAAAATGCAGCTTCTGAAGGCTGTTCTTCAACCTATTAAATCCATGAGTTGTGTTTTTTTTYGAATGGGCTGATACTATCCAAACATGCAGGTTAATTATGTAAAATAAGTGCAGGCTGAGTCAAAGTCCATCAAATACTGAGCTTTATTAATAGATGCTGCAAAGAGGAAATATAGATAATGACCGCCACAGCTGAACGCAGCTGTGCAGAGATGGACTTCCTGTTTGTGTCGACAAATGGGACACGACTGAAGGCACGTCAGAAATCACACCGTGAACTGATGTATGTGATGCGTTTGATCTAAATTCAGGCAGAAAACCTGTTGGTCCACTGCCAACATGTTTAAAATAATGTGGGGGAAAAAAAACTGCCGTGAAACGAAATCTTGGAAAAACTTAAATGAGACATTAAATTCCGACAGCAATCACAGATGATAGTTTAAAATTTGAGCTATAATAAACAAATATGAACATCCCATGAACTCAAACCGTTCAAACTGAACTCCATTTGCTTCCTTTTATTGGACCTGTTTTTGTAAAAAACGTAAATTGCTAAATTAGCACTTTCCTGGTATTGCGTAATATTAAAAAAGAGAGAGAGAGAGAACTTTGTTTTTACTTCTGTTCTCAGAAACTTGTAAAAACATGAAGATTCTCAAATTTTCTTTTGTTTTTTTACAGTTTCTTATAATTATTGGGGTGACTGAGGTGCAGCGACAGAACAGCTGACTTGGAATCAGAAAGTAGCAAGTTMATTTCCTCATTATGCCCTTTTGTTGCAGCGTCCTTGAGCAAGACACCTGTTCATAAACTGCTCCTCGGGGCGCTCATTAGCTGCACGCTGCTCCACTTGGGTGTGACAGGTCAATGGGGTTAAATGCAGAAAACAAACTTCAACACAGCACTTTACTTTGTGCTTCTGCAAACGCTGTTGTAAAATTAGACAGAACAAAATCACTTCCACCTTCTGTGTAGCGGTGTAATAATTTTWAAAAACTAAATTCAGTCTTTCTCATTTGGTAAATAAATATTATGATGAGAATTCCCTCTGATGATGGATTCTGCTTCGGCTGCGGAGTTCTGATAAGGTATGGGTTTTTTAAATTAGGTGAACTACTGACTTAATTCCTATCAGATTTAATCAATCTGTTGTCGGCAATCCCTTTTGGTCTTATCCCCGCTTTTTTCGAAATGCATCAAACGTTTCACCTATCCAAAAGTTTCCCATCTATTGTTGTAGATCACTATTTGTTAAAATTAGCCACATGCACCAGTTTACAGCATCCTTCTTTCTGATCTACACTGCTCAGTGTTTCAGATGCCAGAACCAGGGGCGGAGCCAGGAGGTGGCCAGGGGGTGGCCATGGCCAGCACAGACAAATCTTTGGCCACCCTGTTCTACACACCCCTTCCACAGTGAAACAACCTTTAGGGCTGTAATAATCCTCCTGAACCATTGGTGGCAGTGTTTAACAGTTTGAAACATCACCAATCTCAATGAAGTGACAAAGAAGTGATTGTTTTCTTTATATACAYAACATATGCCTATGTAATCTGACTTATGGTGACAAAWRWTTTTWTTTTTWATTTTGTCACCATATCACAGTGTCATTTTATGTTATGAAGGCTGCATGATGCTCTGCCCCTTTTGGTTAGGAGTAGACCCATCACTAAAGAAAAAGTGAAATGCCCCTCTAAATTCACTGTTGGTGATTATCAATATTGCACCTGTTCATTGGGTAAAATTATTAATATTAGTTTTAAACATGCAGTTGAAGGTCATCATTATTTGGCACAGTGACATGTATTAAAATTAAAAATAAATCAATAAACAATATAAAAGTAAAAAGCACCCCTAAAGTAATTAGATTTGATAAATTGTGTCACATTAATTAACCTTATCTCAGCTGTAGCAGTGAGTTTAAAAACAGGATAACGAAACTAGTTTAATGAAGAATCTGTCTCTGAAATTATTAGTGTTTATTTATGTAGGTAAATGTATGTTAAACAATCTGGTAAAACACACCAGAATGCTAGAAAGGGCATCTACTTCGTTCAAAATTTTGTGGGGGAGGACCCCCAGACCCTCCAACAGTGTGTCCCCACACTTTTAAAATGGTTCTGACACCCATGTTTATAAGGTAGTCACTCCCTGTATAAGGACATGAGGAAATGACCAAAACACAAAGATCTGCAGAAACTTTCAGGTAAAAATGATGTAATTTTCCTGGCCACCCCTGTGTGAGTAGTGGTCCCCGTCTGGCCACCCCTGAGAAAAATGTCTGGCTCTGCCACTGGTCAGAACTACTTAAAATGAGACCTTCTAGCCTCTGTAGACACTGCTTTAGTCRTGCAACAGTCTCGTAAATCTGTCATGAATGCAGATATCTGTGTACATACGGTCACATTTCATGCCCTGGTGTATCAGCCCGTACAGGAGGGAGCCACAGTGGTCACAGAAGGTGGGGCTGGAGTARGTGTGGACCTTAAACTTGTGTTTACTACGAGGATCCTGCAGGAAAAAAWAWAWAAATAAAAATAGAGAGGAGACATTAATGATGTCTGTCATAATAAAACAGGTGGTTTTAAAAATGCAGCCAGTCCTGCTATTTAGCTTTTAAACCTCCTGCAGCCCTCGAGTCAAAGTGACCCAAATGAAATATATATTCAGTAGAAATATTTGGTCACTTGTGGAGATAGTTCCTACATTTATTTTCCAAACAGCATCCCTTCTGAAGTAAATTTTATATAATCAAAAAAAGAAATTTACATACAAAGAACTGCTTTAACGGTCGTCATAAAAACACAAACAATATTTGCATCATTATATTGTCCTAAACTTCTGGAGTTTCAGTACCACTCAATTCAGTGGCGATGAAAGGATTTTTTGATTTTATCCAGTTTTGGTGACCAAATATTTTATATTTTTAGCAAAAAGAAACAGTTTGAGTGACAGAACTTGGAAAAGAGACTGAGTGACATTAGAGGAAAAACAAAAATAGAACATGAAGCTCTTGTGATGAAACCAGAAAAACAAAAYAAAACAAACAAAAAAARAGTTACAGATTAATAAATGTCAGCAGGATTTAAGAAATGCGTGCAACTTGAAAAAAAAAGACATTGGTTCATTGAGCAGAAGCAGCCAGGCAGCACATTTTCTTTTTAACAACCTGCCCTGATGTGGTTTGGGTTTGGATATGTCAGCAGCAAAGACAAAGTCTACATCATTTTATATGTGTGTGTGTGTGTGTGTGTGTGTGTGTGTGTGTGTGTGTGTGTGTGTGTGTGTGTGTGCGTGCGTATACATACACTATATTGCCAAAAGTATTTGTTCAACCATCCTAATTATCAGGTGTTCCAGTCACTTCCATGGCCACAGGTGTATAAAATGAAGCACACAGACATGCAGATGGTTTTTACAAACATCTGTGAAAGAATGGGTCACTCTCAGGAGCTCAGTAAACTCCAGCGTGGGACTTTGATAGGACGCCACCTGTGCAACAAATCCAGTTGTGAAATTTCCTTACTCCTAAATATTCGACAGTCAGCTGTCAGCTGTATTATAAGAAAACTGAAGTTTTTGGGAACGACAGCAACTCAGCCATGAAGTGGTAGCCCACGTAAACTGACAGAGCGGGGTCAGTGGATGCTGAAGCACATTGTGAGAAGAGATCAACTTTCTGCAGCGTCAATCACTACAGACCTCCRAAACCATAAAGACATGGATGGCAGAGGCTGGTGTGGATGAACTTGACTGGCCTGCACAGAGTCCTGATCTCTACCTGATGGAACATCTTTGGGATGAATTAGAGCGGAGACTGAGAGCCAGGCCTTCTGTCCAACATCAGTATGTGACACATGTGGTTCTGGAAGAATGGTCAAAAATCCCCATAAACACTCCTAAACCTTGTGGACATTTTTCCCAGAAGAGCTGAAGCTGTTCTAGCTGCAAAGAGTGGACCAACATCATATCGAACCCTACAGATTAAGAATGGAGTTCAGTCAAGGGAGGTGAGTGAATACTTTTGGCAATATAGTGTATTTATATTTGTGAGCGTGTTCATCCAGCAGCACAAACATAAAGCTAATGTTGACCTGGTTCATTTTATTAATARCCACCATTTAACTGCCAACCAACCCACATGCATGACTATATGCAACCTGAACTCAGAAGGGAGTTTAAAAAAGTTGTTTATTAATTAGAAACAAAAATAAACCTTCAAGAAAAAAACAAGTAATTTCAAGAACGACCGAGTGGGAGTGTTTGTAAACTTTCTTTACTTACATCAGACGCAGGTCCTTTGTCGGCCCCCGGACAGGAAAAAGTGACAAACTCATGACAGCGCTTATGGACCACAAAACAGCACACTGAGGAGGAAGAAAAAGGACAAAAGTTTTACCTTTGGTTACGTGAAGTGCCAAATGTGGTAACAAAAAAAGGGTCACAAAGACGTTTTAAAAAGGGAACTTCTCTGACATTATTCACTCCACAAAAAGCAACTTAAATTTCCGTTGTTCACTTTTGTTTTCGCTCTACAAATAGCCTCTTTTCCTTCTGCAGAGCAGATGACTTTAAATAGAAATTGGTTTCACAATTACACCTAATAAAATGAAAGCTGCCACTGAAAACTCCCAACATCAGTTGCTTCAAATGGCAGCCAGCTTCACGTTGGTTCATTTCTCTGCAAGCTTCTCAACACCGTTTGACATGGCTGAAAGCAAAAAAAAAGGTGACAGTCTGTTGTATTGAAAAGACTGGCGTTTGTTTCAAACACTTGGCTTCAGTCGTGCACTGCAGCTCTGAATGAGAACAAGCTCAACGAGTGTGTGACCACATCAGCACACACACTCTGAGAAGTTGTGCCGTTTCTGCTGAGCTTTACATCTTTCTACTTACCTGGATTGATACCACGATGCTTCTAAATATGTGTGACACTCGTGTCGATATGCTGTAACAAAACACACAGGGCTCCACCCAGATGCTGCTGTGCTGTCTGGTCCGGTGAAGAGTGCAAAGGAACCAAATCCCTCCAAATACTTTTTTATAAATAATTCACGACGTGTGAAAAATGGCTACAGGTTGTCCAGGGAAGCCTCTCAGATCTCACCGTTCCAAAACCGACAGCGCAAGGCAGAACATGAATACAGTATTTGTCACCCGCTGCCAGGAAAGGTGTGCAGTCATGTAGTTGCTCTAGTCTGTGTGTAAACGTGGGTTTGTTAGTAAAATATCACAAACCTCTGGATAGATTTTAATGAAGCGTTTAAAGTAATCACTGGCTGAACATCTAACTGACTAATTTATGGAGTCAACCTGATGGGGGGTGATATGCATTTCTCTGAGAAATCAAGTTTGAATTTAGTTTTACTTTTTTGATGATAAACTTCATGCATCAATTCCAGTTCTCAAAGCCAATTTTATTTATTTATTTTTTGATTAAAAACTCAACTGTGAAGCTAAAATTAAACCTTTAAAGTAGAAAAAAAATTATTTAATGAAAAAAGCTTTTACGGTGACTCAAACAGAACCAAGTTACAGATTTTCCTTTCTGTCACAGAAAATACTTACCTCCAGATTATGAAACAAATTATATCTCGTTAACCTTTCTTTTATGCACGTCAAAACATAAAAAAAACAAGCATGGTATTTTTTTTATTATATCAGACGTGGAAAAAAAACTACGCTTTACTGTCTGATGAGTTAGATTGTTAAATCATAACCWCACTGTAGGTGTGGCACAACCCAGCCATGTATCCCTAACAGGTAAACTAATAAAAAACAACTCTATTTTAATAYAAAATAAAGTTGTTCAAGCTAAACGTTCTAATTTAGCACCCCTGCAACAGATTTTTATTTTTTTATTTTTTTGCTTTTAGCCAGTTTCTGTTCTCTTGTTTACGACTCATTCAAATCTCTGCTGCTCGACTCCAGTAAGCCAAACTCATCTTGGTCTCTCTCGCTTCCTTTTCAATGCACAACAAAACCGTTTAAGATTTCAAGACACTAAAACAGGTGGGTTCCTTCCTTCCTGTCTGAAGGTTTTAACTCTGCACATTCCTTAAAGGTGACTGAGGTCAGGTGAGCARATGGATGCACGGAGGAGACCTGCAGCTTTCACTTCAGGGTGCGGTCAACACTTCAAAAACCCGTTTAAAGACTCATTTTTACTCCTTGGCATTTAAATCAGACTCTCATTCTTACTCTGCACTGTGTTTTGTTCCAACTAGACTATATCTTTGGGATTTTTAATTTGTACTCTAAATGTCTTTTTTTTATTTACATGTTTCTGGATCTTTTAAATGTGCTTAAAAACAAAACAAAAAATCATGTTTCCGTTTAGTAGCTTCTTTGAACATTCAGAAGTCAGAYGTGAAATCACGTGTGACCTCCAGAGAGACGCAAGTTTAGAGTACATAAACATTTGAGATGAGGAAGAAACAATGTTGACTGTCTGTGGACTGAGAGAAAAAAATTCTAAATGACTTAACGCCCAGCAGACTTTCTGGTGAGTCACAACAGTTTTTTTTATTTCTTCTGTATTTTGGATTCCCCTCCATGTTTACGTTGCCTCACTTTCTGATTGGCTACAAGACACGTTCAGCAGGTTGTGAGCTTGTTTGTTCTCAGGTGAACACCACACACGATGTGATATCAGGTCCAAAAAAAAAAATCAAACGTTGAATATCCCCAATTTGAGATCGGAGCGGTCCCGAAGTCCTTCTGAGCTGAATTGTGCCAGAATTCAGCWCAGTTATCCTGATGTGTGACGCAGGCCTTACATGTTTTGTGCCTCAATTAAGGTGACTTTCAACRTCTGACATTTTACAAATTGATAACAAAGTCTTAACTTGGGGGCTAATGATGTGCAGTTGTGTTATAATGTGAATTACATGTGTGTTTTGAGGACTGAAGACAAAAATAAAGAGTTTTTTTTACCATTGGTTGGTCAAGCCTTCAAGCTGAAATTTGTGTAATTCCAGGCTGAGCAATCAAGGCAAAGCCAGTTGGACATTTAAAAAAAAATGAAATGGTTTAATCAATAAAAAAAACTGTTTAATAAAACATTGACATAAAGGTGGAATATTTAGTTAGCAGTCTGAAGTTACCCAACCCCTATTCTTGCTTAATGCTCAACTGTTTTGATWTTACCTTAATTTTGTTTAAATTTGACTTTGGCTCAGATACAAACATAAAACAATGACCCAAATTAAGGAGTACAAAAATTAAAACTACATTAGGATAAACAGACCAGATCAACAGATGCACGACTGTGGTCTAGCCCAGTGATTCGCAACCAGGGGTACACAAGCATATTACAGGGGGTACGTGGAAAAGATGTCTCAGGTGTGTAAAAAATAAATTAAAATAGGACTGAGGTATGTAGGGCCTTATGATTTCCACAATGTGGAAAATGCAAACGGAATCATGAAATTGACACAAAATGTAATGAAATGCAGAATCTCACAACATTTGCTCATTTGGGGTATTTGATGTATTTTGGATGCTGCTGCCTCCTGCACCTGCCATTACCTGGTTTATTTATTTAATAAACATACACTCACCGGCCACTTTATTAGGTACACCTGTCCAACTTCTCGTTAACACTTAATTTCTAATCAGCCAATCACATGGCGGCAACTCAGTGCATTTAGGCATGTAGACATGGTCAAGACAATCTCCTGCAG